TCATCGGTGATCGCCTAAACACACAGTGTAAACATAACACGAATAACAAGACAAGACAAGAGAGGAGAACTCAGCCATAACTACAACATATATAAAACATGTGGCCAGGTGTTGGTGACAAAAGTGGAAACAGCCGAAAACAAGAGGCAAAAGCGAAAACAAAAGCCGAAACAAGAGGTGATGCAGAGGACCAGTTCCTCAGAGCTGTATGCCAGTAGCAGAGATAGTTATTACCGCTCCAACCCCGTCCCCTTAACTAATGCGTCTCCCTTGGGACGTTGGTGCTCCCTACGTACCAAGTACTATGAAGAGTAGCGGCTCACAAAAGTAGACGTTTTCTGTCCATTGGTTGATTAGGTTAAAGTGGATTGATTGCGTTCATACTTTCTACATAAGTTCGGACTGTGTATCTTAGTACGGAATCACTTAAACCCCATACACAGTTTCAAATGGAGATATGACAGAGCCTAATAGGCTCAGGAATCTGTACATCAGTTGATTGACGCTGAGAGGCGGGACCAAAGAGCCGAAGCCCAACCCCCCCACAAGCACAATAGTTGAGTACACGGGACTACAGGTATCGAGGATCCCCTATAGGCTAACTACTCACCTTCCCAAGGATGCAACCCACAACAAATCCCTAACGCGGGATTTACCTAGCAGTACCTATTATACTGCTAGGTAAACAGGCCCATCAGGTGAAAGGAAACGTGGCCAACCGTTTCCGTCCTGGCTAGGGATTGAACATAAGTTCCTCGAGTGCGAGTGGAGAACGTAAACCAATGTGCCAAAGGACGCATGTGGACATGTTTACCTATCCTCACAGCTGACTGCCTGCATGTTCTATGCACTTATTACCAGCGAGCCTCCCACCACCTCCCTCATCCACCCGGGACAACAACACGGCCCTGCTGCTGCTTGTTTAAGCGCTTGACAAGGGCTGCGAGACAGAAAACGTGGTGTACCTGCCTCAGGCTGTTGCCCACAACTCTGGAGGGAATCGGGGGCCAGATTCACGAAAGCACTTACGCAAGCACTTACGAACGTTTACATCTTTCCTCAATCTTTGACGGCTTTGGTTACATTTATTAAACAGTTTACAAGCATGAAAACTTCCCATTCAACTGTTGTTATTGTTATAAACAGCCTCCTGGTGCTTCGGAGCTCATTAACTGTTTAATAATTGGAAACAAAGCCGCCAAAGATTGAGAAAAGATGTACAGGTTTGTAAGTGTTTGCGTAAGTGCTTTCGTGCATCTGGCTCCAGGTTATTTCGTTCATATGATCAGAAGGCGTATCATTTTGTTATATAAAATCCCACCTAACCTAACCCAGTCTAACCTAGCACTGTATAATCTAGAAAGCGAGCCCTTGTACAAAACACCTGTTTACGATTTGGTCCTGGTGAACTGAGGGTCGAGCAACGGTTATCCGTTGCCAACGAGTCTGCTCACTGTGTACTCAACCCCAGATGACGGTCCATTGACATCTCAACCAAAAAAAAAAGGAGCTAATTTAGTGCACTTTAGAGAGTTTAGCTTTCACAGTTCATTGTATTGTTTACTAAACATATGGTATGTATAAGGCCCCCTTCAAGATATACAGTGTTGCTAGGCTGTTGATATATCCCCCGAAAATAATAGGCTAATTATAGATACTGAAAATATCTATAACTTTTCATTTCTCTCTACAAATCTTTATATAAACTCCGTACATATTTAAACGCTCCGGGTTACAGTCACACATAACTTGTTAAGAAATAATGAGAATGTAGATTTAAATAAAGATGTGCTATTATAAGAAATATTGTCTCAACAATGAAAGTTATTTTAAATGGTGAAGTTTTTCGTGTTGTTTATTCAGGTGTAATGATGATAGCCATTGGCCATCAAAATGATGATAGCCAGTAACACTAAATGTTACTATGTTACTCTAGTCACACTGTTCTGATGAGCTCTATACTGTGTTGTTACACTGTTCTGTTACTGGGCTCTATGTTGTAATGTTACGTTACACTATTCTGTTACAAGCCTCTATACTGTTATGTTACGACACAAAGTGTTCCGAAGCAAGGATTAATATTGTGTTGTTCCAGTATTCTGATGAAGGGTTCCATACTGGGCCGCTGCACTCGACTCCTGCTAAAGGACTCGGTAAGCGTTTCGATACTACAATACTTTCTACTACTAAACATTATAAGACGACGCCAAATTCTGCTACATGGCCCCCACATGCTGTTACATTCTTTTTTTTCACAAAGCTCTATATTGCTACCCAAGTGTCACTGATAATACAAAGTGCTATAATGTATCGTTAAACAATGCAACATTAATCCGTAAACAATGCAATTGATCCTGCAGACAGCTCTGCAGAGACCTTAGCATACACAAATTTCCACAGTGACTCCACAGTGCTGGCAACACAGTGCTACAGTAGGCCAGCAAGCATCAACAACAGTAAGATAAACAATACTACACTGGTACTACAAACAGCCAAAGCCACCAAACAAAGGCCATGACTGTCACTATAAAATACACGCGACAGTATCCCCACAGTGCTACAATGACTCGACAAGCAGAGCTACAATGATGCTACAATCAGCCTATAGGAGTAGAACAACAGTGACGCTGCAGGGATCCTACAAGCAGTGATGCTACAATGATCCTACACGATTGAGCTGCAATGGCCCTACAAGCAGAGCAACAGTGAAGCTACAGTGGTCCTACAAGTATAGCTACAGTGGTCCTACAAGCAGAGCTACAGTGATGCTACAGTGATGCTACAATGATCCTACAGGCAGAGCTACAATGACTACGAGCAGAAGAATAATGAAGCAACAGTTGTCATGCAAGCAGATCAACAGTGCAGACACAATGAAGGTACAAGCACAGCTGCAGTAATGCAACAAGGTCCCTACATACAGAGCAACAACGTTGCTACAATGACTCTACAAGCAGAGCAACAGTGACCGTACAATGACAGTACAAGCAGAGCTGCAGGGATGCTACAATGAGGCCACTGTGGCCGCATAATGAGTGCCAAATTGACACCTCAGTCAATCTTCAACAGCAATATAGTAACCCTATTAAAAAATATCGCAGCAATCCGACACAAGGCGCCCAAGTAACTCTTCAGTATAACAGTGGCCACAGTGACACAAGCCTTACAGTGTAAGTGCCTCAACAGTGTCGTGTGGTGTACATGTGGGACTGGTGTCGTATGGTCATTGTCATATGGCCCTACATATTAATGTGGTCCGTGTCATGTGGACCTACATATTAATATGGTCCATGGCATGTGGCCCGTGTGACTGTGGTCCTAAATTGTCATGTTGTTCTAGTGTCATGTGGTCCTACAGTGCCATGTGGCCCTACAGTGCCATGTGGCCCTACAGTGCCATGTGGCCCTACAGTGTCATGTGGCCCTACAGTGCCATGTGGCCCTACAGTGCCATGTGGCCCTACAGTGCCATGTGGCCCTACAGTGTCATATGGCCCTACAGTGTCATACAGCCGTGTACAGTGGGTAACTGGTTAACACCACCATGGGGTAGTGGTTGACCCACAGTTTGAACGCTACAGTGGCACAGGGGCTGGAGGCGTGGGCGTGCGTTAATGTGGGCGTGTGTGAGTGCGTGCCCGTGTGTGTGTGTGTGTGTGTGTGTGTGTGTGTGTGTGTGTGTGTGTGTGTGTGTGTGTGTGTGTGTGTGTGTGTGTGTGTGTGTGTGTGTGAGGGTGGGCGTGTGTGTGTGTGTGTGAGGGTGGGCGTGTGTGTGTGTGAGGGTGGGCGTGTGTGTGTGTGTGAGGGTGGGAGTGTGTGGGCGTGTGTGAGGGTGGGCGTGTGTGTGTGTGTGAGGGTGGGTGTGTGTGTGTGTGTGTGAGTGTGGGTGGGTGTGTGTGTGTGTGTGTGAGGGTTGTGTGTGTGTGTGAGGGTGGGCGTGTGTGTGTGTGTGAGGGTGGGCGTGTGTGTGTGTGTGAGGGTGGGCGTGTGTGTGTGTGTGAGGGTGGGCGTGTGTGTGTGTGTGAGGGTGGGCGTGTGTGTGTGTGTGAGGGTGGGCGTGTGTGTGTGTGTGAGGGTGGGCGTGTGTGTGTGTGTGAGGGTGGGCGTGTGTGTGTGTGTGAGTGTGGGCGTGTGTGTGTGTGTGTGTGTGTGGGGGTGTGTGTGTGTGTGTGGGTGGGCGTGTGTGTGTGTGTGAGGGTGGGCGTGTGTGTGTGTGTGTGAGGGTGGGCGTGTGTGTGTGTGTGAGGGTGGGCGTGTGTGTGTGTGTGAGGGTGGGCGTGTGTGTGTGTGTGAGGGTGGGCGTGTGTGTGTGTGTGAGGGTGGGCGTGTGTGTGTGTGTGAGGGTGGGCGTGTGTGTGTGTGTGAGGGTGGGCGTGTGTGTGTGTGTGAGGGTGGGCGTGTGTGTGTGAGGGTGGGCGTGTGTGTGTGAGGGTGGGCGTGTGTGTGTGAGGGTGGGCGTGTGTGTGTGAGGGTGGGCGTGTGTGTGTGAGGGTGGGCGTGTGTGTGTGAGGGTGGGCGTGTGTGTGTGAGGGTGGGCGTGTGTGTGTGAGGGTGGGCGTGTGTGTGAGGGTGGGCGTGTGTGTGAGGGTGGGCGTGTGTGTGGGGGGGGGGTGGGCGTATGGGCGTGTGTGAGGGTGGGCGTATTTGAGTAAGGGTGGGCGTATTTGAGTGAGGGTGGGCGTATTTGAGTGAGGGTGGGCGTGTGTGAGGGTGGACGTGTGTGTGAGAGTGGGCGTCTGTGTGTGTGGGAGAGTGGGCGTGTGTGAGAGTGCCCATGTGTGAGGGTGGGCGTGTGGGCGTGTGTGGGGGGGGGGGGGGGGGAGCGGCGCCTGGCACCACAACAAGGCTCTCGGTGGCAGCAGTAAATCTGAGTGTGAGGGGCGGCGGGTGTGAGGTGCGGTGCCTACTGTGAGGGGGATGAGCCAGAGATAATCCCCCTTTAGTGCCACCCGCCGCCACGGGAGGGGCACGCCACAGTGCCACCAACACCCTCCCCTTACCTGTATGAACTTGCCCTCGGCCGGGGCCGCCGCTGCCAGAGGGGAGAAGGAGCCCCACACTGTAACCTCCTGCTCCGTGTACTTTCCGTGGCGGTCCTGCTTGGGGACGGCCACCGTGACGAGGGCACGGCGCCCCCCTGAGGGTACCACCCCTGGGGCGAGCTGGTGGGCGGCTGCTGGCCCCAGGAGCGGCAGGAGGAGGGCGGCGAGGACCCCCGCCAGGTAGGGCCAGGGCGAGTGAGGCTGGCGCCAGGCCGACATCAGCGGGCACGACTAGTTCCTCCCACCATCACTCTCGCTACCACACTGGCCCGACCCGCCACCCGCGACCCCCTCTCGCACCCGCCCGCCGCGCGCTCGCTCGCCCGCACCCTCCTCCCTCCCTCCCTCCCAGCTACTCTCATCTCCACCACTCCCTCCCTCCTCTCCCTCCCTCCCTCCCTTACGAACGTGCACATCTATCCTCAATCTTTGACGGCTTTGGTTACATTTATTAAACAGTTTACAAGCATGAAAATTCCCATTCAACTGTTGTTATTGTTATAAACAGCCTCCTGGTGCTTCGGAGCTCATTAACTGTTTAATAATTGGAAACAAAGCCGCCAAAGATTGAGAAAAGATGTACAGGTTCGTAAGTGTTTGCGTAAGTGCTTTCGTGAATCTGGCCCCAGGTTATTTCGTTCATGTGATCAGAGGGTGTATCATTTTATGTTATATAAAATCCCACCTAACCTAACCCAGTCTAACCTAGCACTGTATAATGCTCTAGCATTATGCTGTGGGCCACACATGGCCCCCAGCTGCTCTCATCTCCACCACTCCCTCCCACCTCTCCCTCTCTCTCTCTCTCTTTTGACACATTGTTTCCCTTCCCAGGACCTCTTCTTTCCTCTCTTTTCCTACTGGACGGAATCATTCGTCACCTCACAGTGCACAATCTAGTCAATTCCACACAACATTCCATGCCCGAAACGCTTTACGTAATAGTGGCTTTAGGCATTGTATGTACTAGCTCTACCTATAAGTCAACCAATCTTTGTAAAAATTTCTTGTATGTATGTACCTTACCTAAATAAACATTTATTTATTTATTTATTTATTTATTTATTTATTTAAGTTTTATGTGCCTTACTAACCCGTTAACTTTTTATGAACGGTAAAAGATAACTAGCTATCGAGACAAAGGCCTTCTGGTAGAGGCTGTATACCACAACTTCTCAAAAGCTCTTGATAAGGTACCACATAAAAGACTGATAAAGCAATTACAAGCATATCGAATAAATGGTACAATATTAGCATTGGTAAAACTATGACTTAAACAAAGAAAGGAAAGGATGGTTCTATATGGAGATGAACATGACTGGAAAAATAAATGAAGTTGAGTACGGCAAAGTTCCACCTTGGCCTCAACACTCTTGTCATACACATTATTGACATAAACAGGACCCGACACTGTAGTGTAGTCACCGTCCGAGGTCGCCTTGGCTATAGGCACATCTGGCAGGTTATTGAGGCTGAGCCACTACCAGAATATTCAGATTGTAAACTCTCTGACAATCCTTTAATACATTCAATAGAACACTATATTGTTAAATGTGAAACCGTAAATGATTTTAGACCTCCTGGCCTATTGTACCACCAACTGTGTAACTATTTTCTTGAATCTGGTGTACTGGACGACATCCTAACAATTTATCCTAAATTTGCTTGTCCATTTTAAAGAATGAAGAACAATTTTATTTATTTTATTTTTAAGCTGCATCTCTTATGAACCCATCCCTGCCCTTGTGTGGCAGTGAACAATAGAAAGTTGGATTTACATATTCGTACAATGAAACATGTATACCTAATGTAGTTGATTGCAACAATGAAATATTATATATATAATATATATATATATATATATATATATATATATATATATATATATATATATATATATATATATATATATATATATATATATATATATATACATATATATATATATATATACATATATATATATATATATACACACACACACATACACACACACACACACTAGCTGTACCCGGTCACGCACTGCTGAGCCACACAGCAACCTTCCCGTCCCCTGGTCCTCCCCACCATTCCCCACGCCCTTGTCCGATTCATTTCCAAATGATCTGATTTTCCCATCACTGAAATATAAGAAAAAAGTTAAAAAACACAATAAGAACAATGAAAAATAAAAAAATAAACTATATACTCATGAAATGAACGGTATGGTAAATAACAGCTCAATTCCGACACAATGTCACACAAAATAATTAAATCAAAATGAAAATTAATCGAAATTTATGAAAATTCAATTTGTCAATGCAATCGGAAACATTGAAGTGGAATCGTAACATATAACGTATGTTATATATAACATATAACGTATGAAATGGAATCGTAACATATCGCGTGTTGCTCTTACGTGCAACAGATGGCACTGTGTCATAAAAAAAATATTTTTACCTGTCAGAGGTGTGGCCTTTTTACTTATACTTGCAAAATGGACGGTATGGTAAACAACACAGCTCAATTCCAACATGCAACAGATGGTGCTGTTTAAAAAAAAAAAAAACATGCTTTTACCTGTGACAGGTGTGGCATCTATACTTATACTTACGAAATGAACGATATGGTAAACACAGCTCAATTTCAATGCAATGTCACACAAAATAATTAAATCAAAATGAAAATAAATCGAAATCTATGAAATATGAATTTATTAATGCAATCGGAAACACTGAAATGGAATCATAACACATTTAATATAGCGTGTGTTATTACATGCAACAGATGGCACCGTTTTTCAAGAAAACCATGTTTTTACCTGTCACATGTGTGGCATCTATATAGTAGGTAATTTACATTTTTATCTATATACTAGCAGTACCCAGCCACAGCAACCTTCCCTGTCCCCCAGTCTTTCCTATCATTCTCCCCTCACCCGTCTCCTCGGCCTCCCAACCATTCCCCACTCCACCGTCCCCTCTTCCTTCCCACCATGCCCCACTCCCCCCTGTCCCTTTGTCCTCCCCACCATGCCCCATTCCCTTTGTCCTCCCCCACCATTCTCCATTTCCCCATCCCCTCGTCCCCACCATTCCAAACTCCCCTGTCCCTTTATCCTTCCCCACCTTTACCCCCTCCCCTGTCCCCTCGTCCTCCGCACCATCTCTCACTTCCGTCCCTTCATCATCCCAACCATTCCCCACTCCCTCGTCCGATGCCTTCCCAAATGGTCTGATGTTCCCATCAGAAAATTGGGAACATCAAGTGATCTGATGTTCCTATCACTGTAATATAAGAAAAACAGTTAAAAAATGAAATGAAAATATGAAAAAATATAAAAATAAACTACTCTCACGAAATGAATGGTCTGGAAAAACAACACAGCTCAATTCCAACACAATTCACACAAAATAATTAAATCAAAATGAAAATAAATCAAAATCTAGGAAAATTCAATTTATCAATGCAATCAGAAACATTGAAATGGAATTGTAACATATCTAGTATAACATGTGTGTTGCTCTTACATGCAACAGATGGCGCTGTTCTTCAAGAAAAGCATAGTTTTACCTGTCACAGGTGTGGCATCTATACTTATACTTACGAAATGAACGGTATGGTAAACAACACAGCTCAATTCCAACACAATGTCACAAAATAATTCAATAAAAATAAAATAAATCAAAATCTATGAAAATAAAATTTATCAATGCAATCGGAAACATTGAAATGGAATTCGTGATATATTTAGTATAGCGTGCATGTTGCCATTATGTGCAACAGATGGCGCTGTTTTTCAAAAACGCATGTTTTTACCTGTCACAGGGGTGGCATCTATATAGTAGGTATATAAAAAGATGCGCCTATTCGAATGCAACGTTGTGTCAAAATTTCAAAGCAATTGGTGAAGAACTTTCGGAGATTACAGCGTGTGTTGCCCTTACGTCCAACAGATGGTGCTGTTTTTTCAAAAATAGCATGTTTTTTCCTGTCACAGGTGAGGCATGTATATAGTAGATATATAAAAATATTCGCCTATTTGAATGCAACGTTGTGTTAAAATTTCAAAGAGATCGGTAAAGAGGTTTCGAAGATTTCCCTAACATGAAAATCAAATTTTTCAGAAAAAAACATGTTTTTTACCGTCACAGACGTGACATCTATATAATATGTATATGAAAACTCGCTCCCACGCGAATGGAACGTTGTGTGAACATTTCAACGCAATCGGTGAAGAACTTTCGGAGATTAGCGATTTTAAACAAACAAACATTTCCATTTTTATTTATATAGATCTAACGGTGGTGGTATCCGCTTACACACCGTCAATGAGGCAAGATGCAGAGGTTCCCACCAGCCTCCAAAGGGAAGCAATGGCCAGCTGCCTTTAACAGTTTGGGAAGACACTCCCATTAACTTCATCTCATCTGAGAACCTCACTCAAGCGATCATAGCGACGTCTGCTAGTGTCGGAAAATTTGACTCATGTAAATTATTTAAATTAATACTATTTTCGATAGCTACGAAGGACCACCGCTTTTTGTGAAAAAGTGAAAAACTAGATAGAGCAAGTGGTTTGATATTAAATCCATGAACTAGTGTCCTATGAATGTTCTTAATTAATACTACATTGAATATTAAAGGGACTGTATTATGAGATAAATTAACTCACCCAAAATGGGGGGGTTACATGCGAAAAGATTAATATATCCCAAGCATGAGTTTAATGCTGGTTCTTCACTGAATTAAATGAATGTGAATGAAAATTAAAATTGATTATAATTAATTGGAGACAAATGTACCTCAAAATACTACAATAATATGGCCAAGTATATAGTCAAATAAATGAGTTAGTAGTATTGATCTCATTAAATCCTTAATATAACTACATGGTTATTTCTACAAATAAACTTTAACAGCTTAGGTGTAAACTAAGAGATGGGAAATCAGTTGCCACCCTCCACCAACGACGTGTTGCACCGAGGAAATTGTTGCAGGTGAAGGAGGTGGTGAGATAGCCTAGCTCCTTACGTGACGTGCACTCGGGAGCTGAAAGGCAATTACAATGTAGAAATCTTCTATGTAATTAATTACAGACATATCTAATACTGCGGACTTCTTTCACAAGAATTATGATTGATATATCTGACACTGCAGAATTCTTCTGCAGAAATGAATGAACTATAAATTCCTATACGGAATATGGCTAGAGTAATAATTACTCCCTTGCAAAAGAAAAAAAGTATATATGAAATAGGAGAGCTGAGGGCAACAT